ATTTAAGCCATTTGAAGGCTACCAGAATTTGCGGTTGGCAAACATTACTTAAGAGTAACAGTCCTAATCAATTAAGTGCGATTAAATCCGTTTAAAGATGAGTCATTTCTTAGCATTTCTCCCTTTGTCAACTTTGTTCTAGTATCCTAGGTAAATGGTTTTGACTTTTTGTTCCTATGATAAAATTTCCCTCAGCTGCATGCAGGTTTGACTGCCATATCTGAACTCACATAGGTCACCATCGGACTTGGGTGGCGGGGGGTAGGGGGGAGCGTGACCTTATTGCCCGAAAAAAATTACACGATGCACGAAAGCGTGAGTGTTGTTCAAACGCACTCAAATCGCAGTGAAAACAAGAACGCTCACAATTCACACGTCAACTATGAAACTGTTGTCATTCCGAGGATAGTTATTTTGAAACCTCGCACACTCTATGACCTCGATCGACAGCCTAGCAAAATCAGAAACTTAAAAAAGAAAAAAAATTTCTCCGTACGAAAAGTGCTAGAAAATTTTAATACGGCTCTTTGTGGAGCCATTTAAAACGGCCCTTTTCAGAGCCACCACAAAAAGTCTTGGTATTCGTTTGCTTTTATTCATTTATTTACTTATTTATTTATTTATTTTCATTGTTTTGTTGTTAGAAATAATATCTATCTCGTGGATTTCCATGACACACATTTAAACGATACATGGCTTTTTCAAAACAGATTTCCTGGATCATCTGACCTTAACTCCGTCTTGACAAGGCAAACGTCAGAGAACGTAGCCTACAAACCTGGCTTTGACTACCTTCAAGACTGTTTTCTCTCAAGTACTTTTGCCCGAAAAAATTCAAAAGTTTCTGTAACTGAGGGGGATTACAGCCCCCCGCCCCCGCCCCCGGCCCGTACGCCTATGGCCAGGAGTGCCAGGAATGCAGATACTATTATGTAAAGGATGACACGAAAGGGACATTATACATTACAAAGCTAAGTTATAACTAAAATATCGGCGGTTTAGTACAGCATTCTCGCGATAGCGACCTAGGAGNGATTTCCTGGATCATCTGACCTTAACTCCGTCTTGACAAGGCAAACGTCAGAGAACGTAGCCTACAAACCTGGCTTTGACTACCTTCAAGACTGTTTTCTCTCAAGTACTTTTGCCCGAATCATCAACTTTTTGCCCGAAAAAATTCAAAAGTTTCTGTAACTGAGGGGGGTTGCAGCCCCCCCGCCCCCGCCCGCGGCCCGTACGCCTATGGTCAGGAGTGCCAGGAATGTAGATACTATTAAGTAAAGGATGACACGAAAGGGACATTATACATTATAAAGCTAAGTTATAACTAAAATATCGGCGGTTTTGTACAGCATTCCCGCGATAGCGACCTAGGAGGAACGTGCTGCACTGGAGCTGTTTTAACTTCTGCCTACGAATGTACATACCCACTCTTTCACACAGCACACTCTTTCACACGCTTCGAGGGCTTCATATTTCATTTGCTAGGGATTCTCGCCAGCCCACATGTAGCAAAAGGACGATTTTCTTTGCAAATATCTTATCAGTTCTTTGTGACTTTGTACTTTTAAATTTTTAAACCCGGAGGCAGCAGGAGGTATTGTTGAAGGTTTTGCCACTGGCACAACACCAGTTACAAAAGACTGTAGGCACCAAGATGTGAATGGCTAGGAAGGTGAAAAAAACAGGTGGTGATTCTGTTTTCTGGAGTGATTGTAAGAAAAACCGTGCTAAGCCTTTTTTTGACAAGGGCACACCAGTTTCTTGGCTTCGAACTATTGCCTTCCCAATGAGGCCCACAAATTCAAATTCCAATAATCCAAATTGTTTATTGTTTCAATTTTCCATGTCTCAAACTACCCTTTCTTTAAAATCTTTTTAAGATACAGAGTTTTTAGGAATGTTTTTATTGCCACATCGTGGCGTTAAAAATCACCAGGTGTGGGATGATTTCAGCGCAACATACCTTGACAATACATTGCAATGCCAGTGGTTTTGTTGTTGATTTTTTTCAAGTTTTCTAAGTAACTTAAAAACCTGCAAAACTGTTACTCGACCTTTGTCGGAATTGAGAGATTTGTCTCATGTAGCATATCTGTAACGCTGAAATGCTGCATCACCATGGTTGCAAAATATCGTTAAAAAGGTAGAAGATGTAAAGACATGAAAAGTTATGAAATATTCCAAGAAAG